GGGTGTGGATGGGAGTTTTGCAAAAATATACTCTCGAAGTATGGACTGCATGCTGACAAAATAGTTTGGTGTGCCTAAAAACAATAAAAATGATGAAAAAATATTTAAGGGTTGTAAATTATAATATTACAGATTAAGTTATTATTATAGAGTAATTATAATATTAAGCTTACTTTGACCGTTTCTCCATCACAAGCTAAAGTAACATCACAGAGGGCTTCTCGTTGCAACAGACTAGCCAACACATCTGTTAAATTGGTAGGGTGATTGTTCCAGCGAAGACAAAATTGCTGGTCCATTATGCTAATGTCAGTGTGATATCTGTTTTGTCAAAAAATAATTTAAAATTAAATTTATTCAAAACAAGCATGTGAGGTTAAATGCACAGAACTTAAAACTCAAATTTTAATGAATTGATAACGTCATGATTGGAAAAATAATATTTGGAATAGTTGTAGAACATGGAAAAAATACTTTAACATGTTCTTTCACTTCACTTAAAGGTTATGAATTTACGACGGCAACTCGTTTGCTTAGATAACAAAATGTATATATTTTTAACATTGCGATACGTTCGATCACATATCGCGAATTCGGATTCCTTGATATGTGTCCACATAAGCCGGAGAGCCGCTCATTAACCGTACGAAATAAACAAATTTGCCTACAACATCACTCTTTTCTCATTAAAATATTGTGCAACGATTCGCGAATCATTATCGGCTTTTTATTTATTCGATAATTAGGAATTATTGTATATGGTCCAGGTCATTAACATTATGACACGTGATTTATACACGTAGGGAGTATTCCTTCAAACGCGTAATATCTACTTGTCAAGATTCGCATACGCCATATTAATCCACTATTCGCGAAATTAACATATATCTCATCTCGTTCACTAGTTAACGCATACTTATAACGTCGACGATATTTTATTTTAGATTGGCTGCTTTTATCACATGTTTTCACTTCACAATAATATTTATTCGATCGTTCGGAAAACTTAAAAAATACTCACCTTTCGCAAAATTTTTGCCATCACAACGTCAGTCGACCCCTATACCTAATTTGCACTGCCTGCTCAACTCGTTATACGCGAAATATTTTTGTTTCCGTTTTAAATGATATTGGCCTCCGCAACGCATAATGACATAGGCGGCCAGTATCGACGGTGCGGATTTTTGACGTATCAAATTTTAAGTTTTAACATTGGTATCGCAACTATTCAACAAATCGACCGCGATCGAAAATTCATCAATAAAACGAGTGAATCGCTTAATTCGAATTAACAATTAGTTTTATATGAATTAATGATAAAATCTCTATTGAAAAAGTTTGTGTGATTATATGTAGTGTCATATTTTTTTGCAATAAACACGAAAAAATCATTCAAAACGGCGGAACGTTGGATGTAAAATAAAAGTTTTATTTAAAGTTCGCATTGAGTAATACATTCACAAATATTAACAAACTGCTTAACCATAACCTTGCTTAAACCAAGGTTCATTGTTGCGCAAAGAATCGATCATTCATATTTACGTTGCCATCTGTTCGCAAAAATTTCGCGCGCGGTTCGAATTTTCGCTATAGAATCTAATAAGAATCATTTATCGCACGTGACACACATACGGAGCCTTGAGGGCACGCGATTTTTTTCCATGAAGGAGGGCCGGTTTGGTGGGAGTCAACGCGGACAAATGCCCGAGGCTATACGGCTTGTATAAAAATCTTTGCAAGATTCCAAATTAGTAAAAAACATGTACTAGAAGTTCCTGAAATTTATAACAGTAACTAGTTAGTATCTCACAAAATGATTTTATATTGCATGGTA